AGTTAGTAACTAGTATTATTAGAAGCTTGTGTGATTTTTCTCAGGCTCGTCTTGGTTTTCTGTAGTGACGTTTCTGCCTGTTGTAGTTTTCAATAAGTTTTTAGTTTCAGCCGTGACATTGTATTTTCCTTTTTTTAAAAAAAAATCAAAGTTATAAATGTTTGTAATTGAAAGTGTCAAATAGCTACGTGGAGCTTGCTGAGAAAAAGGAGTTTTTGTCTCCCTCCCTGCCATTTTACCTTCACCCTTTTCAGTTGTTTTAGCTGCTTCATTTGCTGTTTGCATTGCGTCACTAAGATTTTTGCTTGCACTTTTTGATATGTCAGTTTCAGGTCTTCATAGACTTCCCACGTGGAAGATGGGCCATATGCATTCTCCCCTCCTGTACCTCTTCTTCCTGATATAGCTCATGATTTTGATTAAGCCATTATTCAGTGTTAATGCTATCATCACCGTGTTAATGTTGTTCTCTGTTGAGCCATCCCAAGTTCTGTGATGCCTGAGGTCTGTTGTCTACCCAGAGTCCAGAGGAGAATCTTCCAGTCTCAGGCCTTAGTTAAAAACCTGGCTTCCGATGTTGCTCAGCCCAGGGAGAGGGAAAAAGATAAATACTGAGAAAGACAAGCTATAGCTCTGATCTTCCTCTATCACGTCATCTTGTTGCTCGTCCTTTGAGGTTGAGAGTTTTTTTCTGTTTGGTTTCTGCCAGACGCCAGAGCTCTCTGAAGGATACACAAATTTCAAATCTGAAATTTTTGTCATACTTGATCTAAATATCTCTATTTAAGTATAACACTTTCCTAAAATTTTTAGGATAAATTTTTCGATTCCTGGCTTTAGCGTTGATGACTTCTTTCCTCCCATAGTACTTTTTGTTTATCTGTTCTATTGTGGGAATGGAAGCTTTGAAATCTTCACGCATGTAGGCCCCGCCTGAAGCTCAGGTTTATCTTCTGCTTCACCAATACCATTTTCTGCTCTTTTATTCTGTTTTCTCCTTTGATATCAACTGCCTTCATTCGAGTTCACAATTCACATTTTTTTTGTTAATGCAGACTCATTCATTTATGGCCTCATAGTTTATTAAAGTTCCCTTTTATATAATATATCTATTTTTTTGAGTAACTATTTGCTCCGATTCTAGAGTCCTCCCTTCTCTTCAACGCCATAATCTTTTTCATTTGCCTGATGGATTTGGATCTTTCTGTGTCTTATCCTTAGAGAGGGAAGTCTGTGCATATTCAGTATCAGGTATTGCCAGAGACTGAAATGAGTCACTGTTTGACTCAAGTCCAGATGAAGGAAAAAGGTTAGATTTATAGCTGATTAGTTTGCCAGTTAGAAATTCATCTTCCTATGAGGCCCAAGGAAGGAGCCAGCATCAGCTCCAGAAGTAATCAAAGGGAATACTTGCCTCAGAACCAGAGACCTTTTTGAAGGTATTTGGCGTGGCACTCGGTAATTAGCAAGATCATTGTCCCTTGGCATGGCTGCCCATGTCGGAAGCCAGCTGGTGGTGGGTTTTCCCACATATTTTCTGGGCCCATCATTGTGGCCGCATGCAAATTAGAAGTAAATACAGCCAGAGATTACTTTCTTAGTTGGAGCCAGAGACCCCTTTTAAAGAGTTGAGTGTATTTTTTTTTTTTTTTGAGTTGAGTGTATTTTAAATGTACTCCAGCTCTCCCTGGCCTAGTTCACTCCCGCCGTCATCCCTCTGAGACTGGAATATCATTACAAGTCTTGTGGGGTCTCATTTACTTACATTCTGTCAATTCAGCTGCAGTTTCCCACGAAGGGAATGTTGAACCTTAGTCCTTCTCCAGCTTCCTCTACTGGTTCTTTTCAGTGTATGTTTCTGGAAGTTTCAGCAATAGCGGGGGTCCGCCTGTGGCTTCTCGGGTTGATTCAGGGTATTTCCTGCTCTTACGTTCGGTTGGTTATTTCTCCAGTAGTCCAGCACAGAGGCATGAGCCTAGGTAGCCTTCTTACTTGTAAACTGTATATTACATGTCTGTTTTGAACTACGGGGAGGGATACTGAAGTAATTCATTCCCAGTGACTATAAGGAAGTGGGTGAATGGGCAGGTAAATAAGTGACAAGGCTCATATTTTGCAAGTGAGTGGCAGTAGAGGTGGTTATGTGGTTTCGAGCAGAATGGTGTATAGGTTAGAAGAGATGCCTGGGATGGAGAATGGGGCCAACTGGGGAAGACGTAAGGGGCAGTAGTAATGGCCAAGGGCACCTGGGGCTAACGGAGGCAAACCACAGTGCCGTGTGATTTCCTGTAGCTGGAGCTCAAGCAAGGGAAGTGGAGAGTTAGGCTGCTGGAAGGTTGGAAGAACTACAGGTCAGGTGTCCAGATACTTGAAAGAATTCAAAGAGGGATGAATTTCTTTAAACATTCTGTACAGCTCTGTAGTTGACAGTGTGGGGCCCTGGGAAGGCAGGGGACTGGTCTGTGTAAGGAATCCAGCTTACCTGGCTAGAGGCTGAATGGCATCCTTACTTAGCGTGTCGTCTTCTTTGTCATCATGTCTGTTCCCCCACGATTTGTACAGTTGTGTAAATAGGTTGGGAAGTAAACAGATTTCACAAATGTAATTTTAAGACATCACTCCCTAAGAGAGAGGTTTGACACCCTTTGAGGTAGTCTTGCTCAGCACTTGTATTTTCAGTGAGGTAACCACATGCCATTTTATAAAGGGCTCTGACAGTGTACGAATCGGTTCAACATACACTTTCATGAATCTTCTAGTGTTACACACTGTTCTCTCAGAAGTAAAAATCTCCTTGTCTTAAAAAAAAACGAATAGGTTTAACAAAAGCCTCAAAACTAGATATGTCTTAAAAAATGCTTTAGGGGAAGACAGTTAATTTTCTGTCTTAATTTTCTTCTTTGAACTACAGAACATTTAACCCGTATTATCTACCATGTAGCTCAGGGATAATGTAACGTAAATCAAAACTAAGGACAAATCATTAATGTTGTATATAGATGGGAGCAGCCCAGGGTCCTCTGTTTCAGGGTTTGGGGACATGGTTACTCTGCAGGACATCTGACTTGAATCCTGCTTCCTTCAGCAATACCTGAGATTTTTGCTTAAAAAAAAAAAGAACAAACACCCAAGTGCTTTGTTTGTTAAGTTTTATTCACTTGGAGGGTTAGTCCATGGAAAGGCCCTGGGGTGGGTCCTGGATCGAGTCTCAGCTCCCTCATTTCCTGGTCGTGTGACTGGGAGCGTTGCATAGCCTTTCAAAGCCCCGGGTTTCTCATCTATGACATGAGTTAATATTTGCCGCAAACTGTACGTGAAGTGACTGCACCAGCGCTCAGCATCTAGTAGGTGGTGCCTGTGTCCCGGACGCCCGCCTCTCCCGCTTCTGCTGTCACAGCAGTGACGCAGCATGGCGTCTTTGTCCCTTCCATTTCTACATCCCTTTCCTGGTTGCAGCCTGGGTGCCCCGTGTTCACCTTTTGGGCAACTCTGTGTACTCTAAATATTGAAAGTATTTTAAGGTTACATTATTTAATGACTCAACTTGGCAGGAATGACATTGGACCCACGCACAAGTGTGAGTCTTTAAGAATAGAATCTCACTTGCCTGCTTATTTCGCTTTTTAGCTGTCATGCTATTTATATATTCATCTGTCCACCCCACATATGATAGAGCAAGATGATGTAAATTATAAATGCGTAAGAAGGAAAAATAAAAAAGTAAGGAGGGCCCAAAATGATGCCAGGATCAAGTTCGGTACAAAACCGCGCACCATGGGGCGCTCTGGTTTTCTCAGGGACAGCTCTGCTGTCTGGCAGCCATCAAGCAAGAGGAGAGGCAGCCCGTGTACGTATGCCTTTCTCCTGGGCTGTTATGTAGACTCACAGTGGGATCGACAACAGGTCTCCTCCCCAGCCCCTCCCCAGCCTGGGACTAAGAACATCACTGTCATCTCAGGGTAGCTATGGAATTTTGTGTGGGATGTTAGGCCAAAATGGCTTCATGGCTTTCCTTCTTATTTGTTAATAAAAATAGTCACTCTGACAGGAAATTAGATGTAGGAGGCAGGAAAGTGCCATAGGTCTAAACCACTAAAACCTAAAGTGATTAAAGCCACATTGTGAAGGATAATACACGAAGACAGGACAAAAATCAAAACTGAACATGGAAGTTGCTGCCGTACTTGGGATGTTTCTTAGGAAACAGTTCTTCGGACATTATGTGACTTGTCCAGCATTATCCAGCTGATGGAGAAGCGCACCAGAGGATCTGGGGTCAAAAGACTTGGATTAAATTACGGCCAACCCCGCCACTACTAACTGCTCAAGGCTTAGATCTTGTGATTTACTGTATGAAGAGTATCATTTCCCAATAGTCTAAAAATGATGCTGAGATGTTTCCTCCCTCACATGCGCGGAAGTTTGACTTACGAAGCCCCCTACCGCCCATCGAACCGAATACCTGCCTCACTCTTGTGACCAACTCCTGTCACCTTTGGGTGTCTAGCCTTTCTGTAATCTTGAAAATGGTAACAAGTTCCCTAAGGAAATGTAAGCATGAAACAGGTTCACTGGTGTCTCATCCGGGACTGGAAATTGCTTCCTTGTTGCTCTAGTGCTGGTCCTGCCACTAACGGGAGAGCATGGCTCCAGGCATCTCTCTTTGCAGCCCGCGGTTGTTTCGTCTGCTGATGGGCGGGGTTGAACTGGGTGATCTCTCAGACACTCTCCCCATGGTCACAACTTGAAACCACCTGCCCAGAACGTCTAGCTGGCAGGCAGAGTTGGAGTCAAACTTACGAGATACATCAACCTAACATGATTTGGACGAATAGTATAGAAACCCTGGCGCTGAGATGTTCGGTGCTCCCTCCCGGGTTCCTATTTTCATTAAGCTGGTAGTTGGCATTTGGTATAGGGGATATTTGCGTCTGAGGCCAGAGACACTTCCACGTGCTAGTCCTCTCGGGCTAAAGGTGGGTTTTCCTGTCCTTTTTCAGGTACACAGTTTCTCCTAGCATGCCCGCGATCTGATCAGCAGACGTGAGATTTTGGCTCCTGCGTGCGTCCGGCGCCTTAGTGCTGGGGCCTGGTCACCGCCCACGACTGCGGAGCCAGCATGGCCACTGCCTCTACTTCCAGCCCCGGAATTTCACAGCCCCAGGTACGTGATTCAAGCCCGCAGAGGCGGGGGCTCATCACAGTTCTGTTGAATATCTAAACTGAGTTTCAGAAGGTGTGCTTGACGCGGGAGACCATGTGCCTCCTTTGGTGATCCTTTGGTGGGGTTTGGATGAGACTGCTTTTGTGAGGGAGGGAGGGGCTTGCTTTCAGTGCCCGGGACATCTGGCTGTTCCTGTAGGCATCAAACTCCAAATCCAGACGGGTCAGTACAGAGCTAATCTTACAACAGGTATTCTGAATGTTGTCTCGATGTCCTCCCTCTATAATGATTATTATTTTTCCTTGACCTATTCTGGTAACTTTGAGGAGAAAATGCATTTCCAGAAACTGCTAGACCCCTTTTTCTGTCCAATGAAGGACCATGATGCAGCAGGAACATTGTTCTGACTATCCACTGTCTGATTTGTTCAAGTATTAACTGGACTCCCTGAGTTTCAGCAAGCAGTGCAGTACAATGGGGAAACAGACTTTGGAGTTGTGAGGCCTGAATTACCAGTGTGATCGCTGGATAAGGGGCCTCCATCATGCTAACCTCACTCAGCCTCCATTTCTTCGCATATAATCAGACCTCACAGCGTGGTTATAGGGATTAAGGGAAAGAATGTACGCGGAGCACGTAGTAGGTGCTCAACCAACGTCATCTCCCGTGTGCTCTCCCTTCGTCGCCTCCTCCTTTCAGGGTGTGACCTCCCATCTCATTCGTGAGAATGAGTTTTAGGTCAAGGTTAAAGAAAAAAGTGTACCTTTGAGAAAAAGCCATGTGGATTGAAATTTGAGTCTTTATGATACAAAATGTTCCACACTTTTTTTCCCCCTCTGTATCATTTCTCAGGCTACTCAATTTCGTATATATTTCAAGTAGGGGTGTGTGTGTGAGAGAGAGAGAGAGAGGAAGACGAGGGAAAAAGGAGAAAAGGACATTTCTACTTCCTTTACTATAAATGCTTTTCTGTTTCTCTAAAACCTTGGCATTTTATCATGCGGATAAAGTCCTGGCTGTGCCTTAACATTTTCTGTTTGGAGTAACCGCCATTGTGTGTAGTTCTTTTTCTGGTAGGTGCATCGTTGCCTTTTCAACACCTCATTTACTTTGGGTGTTTGGTTTCCATTCCCCTCAGTAGTGTTCTTGGTGCCCGAGAGACTTGGTGAACAGGTGAGAAGATTTAGTGCCTGTTACCTGAGGTCACCATTTCAAAGTCCACTACAGCTCTTCGCCTGCCGTGACGATTCTGGGCCTGCTGTGGGGCGAGCTAGGCCCTGGGATGGGTTTTCTGGACAGGGAAGTTCAGCATGCCCCTCTGGCCGCTCTCATTTGTCAGCATTTCCAATAACATCACCTTATCTTCACATCTTCCCTCTTACACAAGCTACTATCAGCTGGCGAGTAATACAGATATTTTTAAGTGACTCATTCCATGAAAATGGTTAGTGTCGCCCTAGCTAAAAGGAGGTCATGTTGCATATAAACTCTTGGAGAAATGTGTACCCTTGTAAATTCTCTGTGGGAAAGTAAATTGGCACAGTCACCCTGGAGGATAATTTGACGGTATCTATTAAAATGATACAGCTTTGCACGTATCCTGTTCCCATCTTGGTATCTATGTTAGAAAAACGCTTATACATGAGCCCAGGAGACGTGCCTGAAAATATTCTTTGAGACATTAGTTCAAGGCCAAGAGGTACAAAACTTCCTAATATTCAACAGGAGAAGGATTTAATAAAGTCAGTCATGTTGATAAGATTTAAATACCATGCTGCAGTGAAGTGGCGGGTATCTGTCTCAATACAGCTCTGTCTCCTCAGGGTATCTAAGGGAGGGAAAAGAAAGTAAGGTGTAGAATAATGCTTCCAGGGAGATGTCATTAAAACAGTAAAACAAAACCATATGTTTTTAGGGATAAACATATGTTACATTAATGTAAATGCATAGTGAAAGGCCAGGACATACACTGTCGCCGGGAATGGTGTTGCCCCCAGGAGGGCAAAGATAGGCTCTTGGGAGATGAAAAAAATCCCCTCCAAAGCTTAACCCTGCCTGATGAAATCCTATTCCTTAGTATTTAATTGCTCATTAGGGGGAACTTAAATTTAAACAAGATTTTCTCCTTGAGAGTCACCAGTAGGGGAAAGAAAGTCAAGAACCACTGGTCTAGAAGGAGACGCAAGGCTCTCTAGTCACACTTCCTGGGTTCAAATCCTGGTTCCAGCATTCAGCAGCCAGGCCTGTGGGGGAGGGGAGAAGAGAGATTCACCCTCTCAGTGCCTCGGTTTCCTCATTTGCAAAGTGAGCATCTTCATAATAGAGCCAACTTCACAGGGTGGCTTGACGCTTGAAATGAGATCACGTGTGTAAAACTTAGCACTGCGTGTGACATGCTGCTCAGTACGCATCAGTATTGCCGTTCAGCGAGCGCTGTGGCAGGCCTGGGGATGCAAGGATAAGTAAGGTAAAGAAGGCTTTTGCCCTGTCAAGAGTTTACAAATGTAGCGGGAAATATCCAGATAAGGAAACCAGAAAGTGACGGTGCTGTGTGTCAGATGCTGTGATGCAGGAAGTGTGGGTGCTCGGTGGGGTGGAGCGCACCACCGGGAAAGCCTGGGAGGATCAGGGAAGGCTCTCAAGGGGACACTGCCAGACTGAGAGCTTATGAATGAGTCTGAGTTACTCTGGTAAAGGGGAGGAAACAGCCTGTGTGAATGTCAAGTGCCCCACGGTGAGAGAATGCACGGCGTTTGGATGTGAGTTCAGGGACAGTTGGAGTACAGTGGGGTGTGAGGTTGTGACCAGTGACGCCAGCCCTGCTAGCTCACAAGAGCTGACTGTTAAACTTGCAGGAATGCAGTGAACCTATTGACTTCATGCCTGTAGCCTGAAATCAGCCAGGGTGGAGTATTTACACCATGGAAATCGGCAAACACTGGCACTCATTCCTGAGAGCCCGCTGTTAGATGTTTATCAGCATACTTCAGGTTGTAGAGGAGGTAGATGGCTTAGGTGAGGAGGCTGGAGGGGGTTTTGCAGGGCCTGGAAGGCGCCTTAAGGTATTTAGCGTTCATCTCAAAGTAGCCTGTGTAGCTCTTGAGTCTTAGACCTGCTGGGTTCAAACCTTGACTTTTGACAGTTTAGTTGAGCAAGTTCATTCAGTAATCTCAACCTGGGAGGTGAGTCCCATTAGTCTCACTGTATGCTAGGAACAGTTGCAGCCTCTGATGGCTGGGAGAACGCAAGCCCTCTTGGAAGGAGTCGGCTATAAGCTGGCGGATTGGGTGGCAGAGGCAGGCAGCTTACTCTCCTGGAGAGACGCAGATCGTTGGGTCACTTGGTTCCCAGGATCCTCTTGTCAGTGGTGAGTCTCTTGATTATATGTCAACCCTTCACATGTAATCTGTGCAGTCAGATTTTAGTCCAAGGCTGATTTGCCCTTGCCCCCAAGCCTGTATTCATGTATTCTTGCCTATTGTCAAGTCTCCCCCAGGTTCATGGAAGGTAAAAGTAATTTAAATGCAGCATCTCCTTAAGCAAGGCGTAATGAGCAGCCCACTCAGTCAGCTTAGCTTGGCATTGTCTGGCACATCAACTTGCATTCTTCTAGAGTGAATTCAGCGACCTGTGCAAAGATAAACCCAACATTCAAGTGTGAAAGGCCTGACAATCCCTTTTCTAAGGCAAAAATAATTTTTAAAAAAAGCTTTTGATTTTGTTTGTTACTCTATTCATTTGGTAACAAAGAGCATTTTTCAAATCAAGGCTGCCTAATACTAGATATAAACTAATTAATATGAACAAAATAGCCTGGGATTGTTGCAAACAATAATAAGGAAGAAAGCGTTCATTGTCACTCCCGCTGGAATTGCTGTTTAGTCAGTGAAAGACACGCCTTGTGCTTTGAAGTGGGACAAGTTTGTATTCCCTGCTTTACTCCCAGACTTTACTCCTGGACTGTAAGACGGATTTTTGTTTGCTCATGCTGAGAGAGAGCGCACCTTGTTCTTGCGAAGCTAGCGGAATACTGAGGCGAAACTGGACTGGCAGCAGCAGCGAGACTGTGTTTGTAGCTGCTTCATAGTCCTGCCAGTGCAGCTACTCATAAGGGCACCCCAGGGAAGCTCCAGCGATGTGTTTGCAGATAGGACCCTGCTTATCATTAGGTTAAAGTAACCTGCTTCTACCCTGCAGGTATGGGATTGGGGATGGAGGGATGGTGGGTCACCAAAAAACTTAACACTCTTTCCTCCACTGTTGGTGGGAATGTAGTTAGGTGCAGCCATTATGGAAAACAGTATGGAGATTCCTTAAAAAACTTAAAACAAACTCACTGTATGATCCAGCAATCCTACCCCTGGGCATATCTCTGGAGAAAACTCTAGTTTGAAAAAAATATATGCACCCCAATGTTCATAACAGTACTTTTCACAATAGCCAAGACATAGAAACAACCTAAATGTCCATTGGCAGATGACTGGATAAAGAAGTTGTGGTGTATATCTATAATGGAATACTACTCAGCCATAAAAATGAAACAATGCTATTTGCAGCAACATGGATGGACCTGGAGATTGTCATTCTAAGTGACGTAAGCCAGAAAGAGAAAAAAAAATCATATAATACCACTTATATGTGGAATCTAAAAAAAGAACACAAATGAACTTAGTTGCAAAACAGAAGCAGATTCACAGACATAGAAAACAAATTTGTGGTTAACCAGAGGAGAAAAGGGGTGGGAAGGGATAAATTGGGAGGTCAGGATTTACAGATACTAACTACTGCATATAAAATTGATTGACAACAACACTAACGACTACAGATAAAACAGATAAACAGCAAGGTCCTACTATATACAGGGAACTGTACTTAATACCTTGTAATAGCCTATAATAAAAAAAATGAAGATGAATATATATATATATTATATTATTTATATATATATAAAAAACTGAATCACTATGCTGTACACCAGAAATTAATACAACATTGTAAAC